ATGTTGATTTGCTTGACCTTCTTTTTCGGTCCAAACAGGAATCTCGATTTACTGTTGTTGGGTAGCTCGTTTCCAATGGGATGGTGACAAGGAAGTGGCAGACTTACGTTTTGATGATTTTGGGATAATCGGCGAATGGGGGTCCAATTGCTGTCAAATGAATAGACCAGGTTTTGCATTCACAACTTCTTTATTTTCCCCTGCACAATTTGGTTGGGGATTCGCCGGAAGAAATGTGACGGAACCCTTTGCCTTTGACTGAACCAGATACAAGATAAAAAAAAAACTGCAAACGAATAGCACGATTAAATTCTGTTACCGCCTCGAACACTTTGCACACTTACGGCTTTTTACTGATAGCCTTTTTCCTTATGTTTGGGCTCAGTCGATTTCCCTTTATTAGATATGGGTGAATATCGACTAACTGAATGTCGCCAGCTTTTAACCCAGTTTAATTATTTGGTTAAGATTACTTCCGTTCTTGCGAGGGCTGATGCGTGTGGTTCGCTCCGTGTCCAATTCGGGAAAGGAAGAATATTTCCTTAGCCTCGTGGTATGTGACCACCGATTCTTTTATCGTGTGTAAGTGTGGGCATTTCCCTATTGTCACTGTCAATTCGTGCCTATGCCGATATGATGGTTCGTGTCTTGGATAACATTGGTTACGTACATTCATCTGGCAATCCCCCCCATTTTGAAGTTTAGCTTTGACAGTTTTGTTATGTGTACATTTCTCATGAGTGTTCTTATGTCTATTATTTGGCCACTAAAAATAATAGATCAATGTGCAAAAATGACGTGGCAGCATGATTTTCTCACGCCTCTCTTTGCACTTAGAAATTTAACTTAGAAATCAAAAATCTATAGTTCTCCACGTTTCTAAGTGAAGTTTTTTTTTGGCTAAATACATACACGCGCTACTCCTTTGCCAGATATACAATTTTCAAGCCAAGTCAAGTCTAAGCCTTGCATAACTGAGCTTTTAAAGTCACCGACTACCATGCGGTTTTCTCCTCTAAGGAGCGCACCTATTTCAGGGTGATATCCCGCCGGGGAGCTGGTGGCATGGGGTTGTATACATTAAATATTTCGAGCTCGACATCGCCTGACCAGATAGCAATACCCTGACATTGTAGGATGGTATCGCTGCGGTAGATATCTGCTTCGATGAGACGATACTGCACGGTGTGGTGCGTGATGAATGCTAGGCCGCCACATTTGCTCGCTCAACAGTGTTAAATTGCTGTGCAACTTCGTCTCTTGGACCGCAGCTATTAATATGCCATGCCGAACCATTAAGGCGGTTATCTCCTCGATCTTACCCTGCAGTCCGTTATAGTTGAATTGTAAAATATTCGTGTGCCGAGGGAAACTTATTGGAATGCGGGGTGTCAGTGAGGTGTGTCGCCATTTGCTGTGGAGTGTGCTGCCCCGTGGTGGTAGTGGGTGGCGTCGCAGCAGGGACTGACGATCGAGCAGCACAACACGGGCTCCCATAGTACCTCGCGTGGTGCGCGGTCCTGAGCATGTCCTAAAGTGACACCAGCCAAGGCTTGACTGATTTAAAGCATACTTGAACGTTTACGATACTTTCGAAGAACATTTCTTTTAAAAAATACATGCATCTTTTAATGCATCGTTTACAAGGACGATGCGGTACTTTATATATAGATCCCTTTTTGCCCACAGACCATTTACGTTAATTTTCAAATTATTCTTTAGGTTGCGCTACCCCCCGACGGATTGCCCTTCCGTAGGTACACATATATCAACATATCAAATAGCTGTTGATAGAGAGAGATCATCTCTCTACGGGTATCGACAACATCATGGTCTTGCGGTGGTGAGTTTAAGCTAACACAAAAATTCCATAAGATAGTTCGTGTCAGTTGACATAGTCTAATTGAAATATTAAAATTGTGAATAATTACTTCCGTTCGGTAATGCAAGCGCAATTTTCAGTTAACTACTGATAGCCACCTTCGTTGAGGAATCCAATGGAGAATATACAGTGAAATTCCTCGTTACGGACAGTCCTTATAACCGGACAGCTTCAATAACCGGACAGATTTGGTACAACTTTTCATTAATTTTTCCCTTCAAATATCATCCTAGTAACCGGAAAGTTTATAAAAAAATATGAAATTTACACCAATTTTTATTATTTTTCCACCTTTTTTGACAAAATTAACAGCCTTATTCTGTATCACGAACGATAGGCAACACGAAGGATTCGTCTACAGCCGTGATCATTTTTTGTGTATCAAATAGATATTAGAACACACTTTCCACCATACAGTTTCGATTAAAAAAAAGCGGGAAAATGTGATTTTGTATTTCGAAACTGTATGGTGGAAAGTGTGTTCTAATATCTATTTGATACACAAAAAATGATCACGGCTGTACTTTTTGCTGATATATTACATACATATGTTCCATTTAGTTAAACAATATAAGAATATTGTAGTATGTACCACAAAAACGTATATTTTCTATAAAAAATCATAACTCAGAAAAAAAAAATTCGCTATTAGAGATTTGGGTTGATTGTAGTTCAAAGTGTCTCTTTCCCGATAAAAAAGTTTGAAAGAAAAAAAAAATACACTTTTTGAGAAATTAAATTTAAAAAAAAATTGCAATTTTTGTTTATTGTTAAATAAAAAATTTTAAATAATGAAAGTCAATAATTATATCATTCTATCTTGAAGTGACAAGAATTACTGACATTTGAGTAAAAACATTGTTGGAATCTATTAAATTTTGACAAAGTTATGGGCATTTAAAAAAAAATTCCCACTGTCAATTCGAATAATCGATTTTTGCCTGAAAAACCAAATCGCGTTTAATTCGGCCGAAAAATTTTTCCGAGCCAAAAGAAAAAATACGTGTCTCATTATTTGGACCAACAAACAATGTATTTTAGTTTGGTCGAAATTAAAAATCATGCTCGTACCTGACCGGTTGTCTGGAAATGGAAAGCATCTGCGATATTTCATTAGGAGACTTCACGTGGGTGACAGGTAATAAGATCAACGGAAATAAGGTCAATTGACTTTATTTCCCACCTTGGTGCGAAATAAAGTCAATTGACATTATTACCTTTTTAAAAACGAAATA